ATGACTATCGGGGAGAACGGCGGGGAGAATACGGGGATGCCCCGGCGCTTATCGCTCTCTCTCTCTCTCTCTCTTTCGTATTCTCGCTGGCGCCGGCAACGTCGTTCCGCCGGCATTCTGACACACTCTCTCGTCGTCTCGTGACCGCTTATCTCTCGGAGAAGACTACGGGGTCGCCCAGCTCTTCGGCAAGAGGTCACGAGGCGCGGAGACGTGGGCGGGGAGCGGGGGCGGAAGAACGCGGCCGGAAGCGGCACAAGTCGCGGAAGTTCCGCGCAGAGATGCACACGAGCGGCCGATATCGCCGCCGCGCGGCGATTAAGGCCGCGGCTTTTTTCGGGGCCAACCGGGAAGTTGGCGTCGATAAAGCTCGCGCGCGACGCGACGCGTTTGCCTGCGCCGAAATATTCCGGCGATATCAGCGACTCGATCGTACTCGAGCGGACTTCGCGCGCGCGCGCGCGCGGATCATTCTACGGCTGGAAGACGCTCGCTCATCGGCGAGCCTGTCAGGTGAGAGGAGGAATTTCGCGCGAGTCCACGAGCGGAAAGTCTTATTACGCGTCGCCTCGTATCTCCGCGACGCCATGCGATCTCCAATTAGCCATCCGCGTCCGGCACGTCCGCGCTCGTAGCTCGTGACTCGAATGGCCGTCTGGAGATTCCGCCCCGGAGAGGACCGCAATCTGCAGGAGCTCCATCTATCACATCGATGGCAGATACGTTGATCCCGTTGCCGTCGACGGCCGCGGCCGGTTGCTGCTGACGAAAATTCCCGTCCGACGCGGAGTATCGCGATCGACCGGATGAATCAGCACGTATTAACCCGTCGCACGCCGTTTGCATCGCGTTTGGCGCGATGCATATTCATGTCGCTTGAAATAATAAGCAACCTGTCGTGCGACCTGTTTTCCTCCTGTTTTTGCTTTTTTCTTTTTTATCAAGACACGAAGTGCGCGACGGCCGACGGCGTACGCGCTGCGGAGAGTGAAGGCATTTAACGTAAGGAGATATTCGCGATACGGGATTCAACACGAAACGTAGCGTGACGCGATAACGTTCCGCGGATTATATCGGGCCTGTCAGCCCGATGTGCGAATGATTACCTTCGACCGAATCCGACTCGGTTCGGCCTTTTTAAATTTCATGTCTGCCAAGAAATTACCCGGGCGGGCTTAGGCCATAGGAGAGAGGGACAGAGAGACACAGCGAGCGAGCGGGAGAGAGAGAGAGAGAGAGAGACGAAAGACGCGCGAGGTAACGTAATCCTCTTTTGCTATTGATTGGCACACAGCCGGTTGCCGTGGTTACCAAAAGGTTGCTACAATCCTTTCAGCAGGAGCCATTTATTGGCCGAACATTAGCCGCCTGAGCTCATAAGCTCATGCTGATCAGCTAGAGGAAGAGAGCGAAAACACAGCGCACGAGAACGTAGCGAGGCGAGCAGCCGGTAGTATCGGGCGATACGCACAAAACGGATCACTCGGTTAACGCGCGCGACTTTACTTCCTTTATTTTGCCGCCAGCCGCAGGTCGCAGCGGCATTTACTCACCGCTGTCGTCGAACGACAAAACGACGACAGTGCCGACACAAAATACGCATGTCGGTCGCTGCGAGCGAAGCTCCTCCGCCTGTTAGCTACAGGTTGCCCGTCGGGAAAGAACGCGCGAGTGTTGAGTGAAAAACTTGGCGTCTTTTCGCGCGCGACGCGACGTCGGGAAATTTCATTCACTCGCCTCGCGCTCGAATGTGCGCAACGGCACATGGACGGGAAAACAAATACACACACACACACACGTAGTACAAATGTATCTTCTCGGCCTACCGAGAATACTCCTCCTAAGTGAAATTTTACATCTCTACAAAATCTTGGCGAATTTCGCCTCGCCGCGACGCGACGTTTCGGCGATATCGGCCACGCGGGAGTTTACTGACACCTGCCGAGACGGAGACGGGGAAATCGGAGTCTCTTTGCGGAAATAAAAGGAGGATACAGCGGACACTCCGCGTATATATAGGATGCGATCGAACGGCAGGACGGTCCGGTTTACGGAACCGAATAAAAATTTCAATAAGTTCGCCGCGGAGATCTCCTCCGGAATTGAATTCTCCGTCCGGCCTGCCGCTGCTTCGTTCGCTCGCACTGTATTTAGTGCCTCGGCCTCGGAAGCAGATAATTTTCCGTCGAATATTCGCCTGAGGAGGGGAAGCGGGGCAGGACGAGCGGGGAGAGGGGGTGGGGGCCGTTACGAACGTGCCGTTATCGCTGAGGTGCGCGGAGGTGCGCGGTCGAAATGTTTGTGCAGTTAGCTGCAGCTTTGCGGCGCAAACATATCCCACGTCGGACGTAGGTACACAGCGGCGACGTCACGTGCGTCGGCCGAAGTGGGACGTCGAAATCAATCGAACGAGCGAATTATTGTTCGTACGGTTCGTGCGTGCGCGCGGTAGCGTGCGCAAACAAACGTTATCGCGCGCGCCGCGTGCATCGCCGGCGGTTCTTATCGGCGTACGAAGAAATCCGCTTTCGCGTTCCGGTAAATTCCGATTAGATTCGGCTGCCCCGACGGTTTATACTCGTTCGCGCGCGCGCGCGCGCGCGCGCGCGAGTGGCCTCCTCCTTTTACGTTTCACCTCGTGGGAGAATGAAATTTTGTGTTTGTCGCGGACTGGTTCTCTCCGGGTCTGCGCGTGTGTATCGACGCGATAAAAAGTTGCGGAAACTCCGCGAGTCGAGTTATTCGTTCGAATAAAAATACTCGCGGGTGCGTTCCGCTGCTTTTTCGTTCGTATGCAGGCGGGCGAGAGCGAATTGTAGTACGAACGAGCGAAATATGTGGAAGTTAACGCGCGCGCCGCTGTGCGTCAAGCAGTCTTTTTCCAATCGGTATTCCGCAAACATTACATGTATTATTTAAAAGTGCGCTGTATTTAAATAGCAAGCGCTTTCAACGTATCTCGTTTCTGTTTTTTCTGCTTTCTTGTTTTGCCGACTTCGGTCCGAGGCTGGACAGGCTGGTGATATTTCCCCGTTGAAAGGGCCGACTCAGGGGGGTCGTTTCTCTCTCACTTTTCTCTCGCGACGGTGAAATAAGTTAAACATAATTACATTAGTCTCTTCGGTCTAGACTGTATTATTCAGAGAGGCGCGGGGAGATACCCCGGACTGTCTGCAGAATTACTTTCAAAGCTGACTCGAAGCCGCTCCTCCCTTATCAGGATCGCAGATCCCCTTTGAGGGGGCAAATGGCCGCGACCCGATGTTTGTATCAGACGTGGCGAGGACGTTTCTCTCACTTTGTGCGGACTTGAAACTCGCCCCGGTTCGACGTCCGTTCGAGGACTCGTCGGGGTTATCGCGACTCCTTCAGCCGCCTTCTTGTTAGCTTTCACGCTACGTCGGCTGCGTGAAGCGATTAAAGCGTCTACCCTCGCCGTTTATAAAAATATACTCTCTCCAGCGACGAAAGGGAAGTACGAGAACCGCGTCCACGTGGTGTCGCGCGCGCGCGCGCGCGCGCTCCTCGCATTCTCCTCGCCGCATTCTGTTCGCCGTGGTTACGCCCAACAATTAGGCATTTACGAGACAATGCGTCGTGCGAGAAAGAGACGGTAACCGAGGAGTGAGTGAATGAGAGAGAGAGAGAGAGAGAGAGAGAGAGAGAGAGAGAGAGAGGCCACGCGGACGGACGGGCGGACGGGCATTCAAAGAAGGGTGGAATGAATACGTCGCGCGCGAATAATGGAGAATGCCCTGTGCCAGTCGGCGAGTCGTCAAACATCGCGCCAACAATGTTTCAGTCACTTGGTGTTGCTCGACACGCGCGCGAGCGCACTCGCGAGTAACCTCCGGTTAGCCGGGAACTTCCTCGAGGCTCGGTAAAAATCGACATTCACCCTGCGCGAATTCAGCCCTCGCTGTTTCCCACTTCCGACTGGTCTTCGTTTCCTAACGGACGTGTAACGCCGAGACGGAGGGGGCAAGCGGCGAATCCCCATCGCGCTGAGCCAACATGTTCGATCATCCCCCGGATAAGCTCCTGAAAATTCGCGTTTCGTCCGTCCACGAGCGCGCGCCGGGCCTTCGTGCTCCGGCGAGAGCGCGGGTAGATTATCAATTTCTCCGGGCGAGATTATCGCGAAATGAGCGGCGAGGTAGGAAAAATCGCGGGTTGGGGAACACGCTGTGGCCGTCTCTCCTGCGACGTCCCGGTCGGGAGCAGGTGCGGCCGACGTAGCTGGTCGGGGACGAGGAGCGGGCTATCGGGACCGTGGTCGCGGAAGCGAGGGCGAGAACGAGAGAGAGAGAGAGAGACATCTCCGACGAGCGTAATCCGTGCGCGCCAAGCGCGTGCAAAGCGCCAAGCCACCCTTGCTCGGGCTTGCGGTGGGTGGCGGAACTACGAGGGTGGCGGCCGAGGAGCCACAGTTGGTTGCGGGCTGTCGCCCTGAGAGCAGCGCGCGTGCCTCCACGACCTTTGGCACGCGACCTCGTGATCGCGTGATCGCATAATCGCGCCGCGGATCGAGCGGATCGCGAGCGGCCGGCGCGCGAGATCGAGCGATCGTCACGATCGCGCGATCGGCCCGAGCGGGGGTGGCAAGTCGGCAGTCGACGGTACGTCGTCGGGCTATCGCGAGTACGCGGCTGCGATGGAAGGCGCGTGTCCTCGGCGACCTGTGGACGTTTTTTCAGCGAGCGACGTATGTGCGACGGAGTGACCCAGGTCGCGCGCTCGGCCGCTTCCGCGCGGTTTCCCGATGGTGCTCTGATAAAAGCCGGATAACTCGTTTCTCTCTCTCTCTCTCTCTCTTTCCCTTTCTCCCTCTGACGCGAGCGCGCCGCCCGTTCGCTCGCCGCGACTATTTTCACGAGTTGGCAAACGTAGAGCGCGAGTACCTCGCGCGATAATTGGGTATTTCGTTGCGGCCGCGGTAAATTGAATCGCGCGACCGTGTGCGTGTGTGCATGTGAGTGTGTGTGTGTGTGTGTGTGTGTGTGTGTGTGTGTGTGTCTGTTGAGATATCACGATTGGATAATTCATTACCCGGACGGACGGTCCGTCCAGCGCGACGGCGGGTCCGTGCGGTTTTCGCGCGAGTCCGGAGTTCGGGGTAAAAGGTCAGCTCGCGAATGACCCTGCGGATGGTCGCGGGCGCACAGGTCGCGCGGCGAGACTTTAGGAGCTGAAGATAAAGGGAAAAACGTGGGGGGAGAGAGCCGTAGGAGAGCCGCTCCCGCGAAAATCCGTAGCGGCCACGATGAGGTGTGACAAGCGAAGCCACAAAGGGGGCTCGCGAGCTACCGAAAAAATACTCCGAAAGAAAGCGAGAGCTACCTGTGCGCTAACGCGCGCGCGCGCCCGCGTGTCGGAGCCGTGAGAGCGGAAGCCCTTTGAGGCTGCGCGACAAAACGCGAAATCAACTTTTCCTGCGAAAACCCATCAGCGGAGAGTCGCTAACGCACGTGTCCCCCCCGCGTGTCCCCCGCGCGCTCCATCCGACTCTGTCCTCGCTGGCGGACAATTTCCCTCAGGACAAACAATCGAGATCCCGTTAGTCGTGTTCTTTTTCTCGCTGCAGCGTGCCCGGGGTAACGTAAATTGAGCTGACCAGCCGGGAAAAGGGCCCGGGAGATGAGAGAGAAACGATTCGGTGAGAGGTTCGACGAATCGTGTGATCGCGCGACGCATCCCCGAAAAAGGACGCTTTATTCCGTCGATAAACCGGCTGGCTGCGGCGCGGCGCGGCGCGACGGCGCGCTCGCGAAAGTTCGGCAAAAGTACAATACTTTGCCGACTTTCCAACGCGCGTTCCGGCGTGCGATCAGACAGATTCGTTGTCGGAGGCGACTATGTAATCGCGCGGGTAGCACGTGCGAGCGAACAAGGCTCGTCCGAGAGCGTCACGCGTGAACGACACGACCGACATGACGCGGGCATGTCAGAGTTCGCATGGCGAAGTAGCTGAGTCGCAGCTCGGCGACAATCCAGGTCGTACGCGCACCGTACTTCGACCCCACGCCGCTCACAGAGACGTCTTGTTGTTCAGATAAACATTGTTAACACAGCTTCGTGGCCGTGCAGGCGGCCGAGTGTGTGTCTACCGAAGCGGCTTTCGCTTGGACGACGCTAAGACGGATTAAGGCGCCGCGCGCGCGCGATCCCACGTCCTCTGTGATTTCGCATTAAGAGCAATAACGAAGCAATCATACGTAGTGCATTAAGGAAATAAAACGTTGTCTCGCGACGACACATCTTCCGGGGCAGGACGGGCCGCTCGGGGCGAGCTGGGGTTCCTGTTCGTGTCGTCGAATCGTCGAGAGTCGCGTTAGCGCACCTCGGGCACTTCCTCGTGTTTCCTTGAGAAATTAAGAAGGAGATCCGTGTACTTCATCCTCTGAAGATTCGGCCTGGAGAAGTCATTGAGACGGCGGAGATATACATCGGCGGGGAGTCTATGAATGGTGCGAACTCGCGCAAACTTCTTCAAATGGAAGATTAAAGACGTCTCGAGGCGGTCTACGAGGATAATGTTCCGGAAGAAATGTTAGGTCTCGTCGCGGATGCGCCATTGTACGGGGCGGCCTAGAGAGCTAAAGAGAGAAGGAGAGAAAGAGAGCGAGAGAGGGAGGGAGGGGGAGAGGGAGAGACAAAGCCGCTTTGCCAACGGCGCGAGGTGAGATTAAGAGCGACGGGAAAGGAACGGCAAATAGGCGAAAAGAGAAGACCCCGCGTTCGCGATAACGAGCGACGAACGACAAAGCGTGAGAAAGAGAGAAGGAGAGAGAGAGAGAGAGAGAGAGAGAGAGAGAGAGAGAGAGAGAGAGAGAGAGAGAGAGTGAAAGAGAGATCGCAGCTGTGTGTCGCGGGGAAGCCGACGACGACGACGACAACAACGACGACGGCGACGAGGCGCCGAGTGCACTCGACGATCTCGCTTGACGAACGATAATCGAACGTATTCGAGCGCACACGGGAATACGAGAGATACTCGCCGGAGGAAAGGAGACTCGCGGGATTTGCGGCCCGAAATCCCATTACCATATTAGTCCGAATAAATACTCGGAGGATTTCCGTAGGTAAGATCGATCGCGAGGTCCCAGCGTGCCCCTGCTCGCAATCGACATCCATCTTCCACCGGGACCGGGGCGAGGGCATTTCGACTCTCTCATCCTCTAGTCCGTCGGTCTCTTTCTCTCCTTCCCTCTCTCTCTCTCTCTCTCTCTCTCTCTCTCTCTCTCTCTCTCTTCCTCCGCTTCGCTGTTCTCTTCTCTACTCTCTACACTCTCCTTTTCCTCTTTCTCCGCTTGCTACTTCCCCTCGCCACTCTCGCCCCACATATGCAGGTTGTCCTCCCCTCCCTCCCTCCGCCCCGCCGGGCCGTCTAAGAAGTTTCGGCGGGTCGCGCAATATCACGGACATTATGCATAACTCGGCCGTCGAGCACTCACATCTGGCGGCCGCGATCGTTCCACGTTTCTCAGTGGCAACGCTTTC